AATGAAGAGATTTTATTGACATCTATTTGTCACTTGCGGTCTCAAGAACGACAATCTCGAGGAAGTTGGAGGTTTTCCTCCACTACAGTGAACAGTCATTTTCCACTGTTATGGAGAAAAGTGCCAGACCGAACGCCAATCAACAACCTTTTTGTCTTTGTGTCGTCGTAGAGATCCGGTATGAAGGGACGGTTAAATTAATTCCACAACGCATACGAAAGAAAAATTAGGATCATTTAAGCAAGGTATATTTCGAAGTATCTCATGATAATTTTGTCTCGCACAGATCTTTACGAAACTATTTGACGTTTTCCTTGGGATTCCTGTTCCTGGCAATTCCCACGGTCCTAACAGCTGCTGTCAGTTTTCCAAAGGTGAGAGACAGCTTTCTACTGCTGATTTTTATCATTCAATGTCTGGCATAAGTTTTAGATATCAAAGGAATAAATGAAATGAGTACATAATTTGGATCACCTAGAGACGCAGTGGCGAAGTGGTTAGTGCGCTGGATTCTGGGTCGAAAGGTCTGGGATCAAAACGTAGCCGGAACAATGTGTTCTTGGGCAAAGCATTTTATTTTCAATGGCTACCGATGAATTGTCAGGTAAGCCTGATGAAATGTTGGAGGGTAACCTTGTGATAAATTTCATCCAGGGAGGAGTAGTGATACTCCCAGCCGGATAAGCTCTTGTTGGATGGGTGACTGGTTCACTGCTGAATTCTCTTTGGCTCAGTTGCAGAGTAATGAACTGCGAAATCATACATTGCCAGAGTTTGAATCTAACGCAGTCCTTAGATTTCTTCCGAGTCCAACACGTTCGCTAAATGTTTACCTCCTAAGGAAACAATTTTCTTCAAACACGGACCTACTACGTTAAAAATGTATCTATATATGGAATATTTTTTTCAGCGTTTCCCCAAGTTCTTGGTGGATATTTCAAACGTCCTCGATAGCAGTAAACCAGCTCGGACGCTTCTCGCGGCTTTAAGCGTATCATTATTGGCTGGAACAGAATTGATTGACATGGTAAGCTTCCCTCTATTTCGTACCCAGGTCTAACCTTATATGATTGACATTGTCAGTGCGAGGTCTGGGTAGGAGCAAAACTAAATTACAAGCCATTCTGGAACGATAACTGAATATATGAACCCATCATCTCTATGTCCCCGAATTTATTTTGTAACTTTGGTATTTTTCAGGAAAGACAGCAAACAAAATATTAGCTGAGTCGTTAAAATGTTTTCTAGACGCGTCACCTATATGCTACGTTGAAAACGAGAAGGACATGCACACTAAGAACAGCGGTTAAACGCCGGGCATGCGTAAGGGAATCAACTCTGGCTAACTGTGCACCGATTTCCCGCGCCCTGTTTCAAAGGAATGTTTCGTTATCACGCAAAACATGCGAAAAAACTGAAGCGTGCTTATAAATTGTTTCAAGGGAAAAAATAGGGTGAGAGAAAACCTTGAGGCTTATCGAGGACAAAGCTATGAGTATTCTGTGATTTTCCATTTTACTTTGAGCTTTGTAAAAAAAAAGTTGTTTACTTTTAAAACACCGTGACTTACTGGCTTGTACGACAACCTGGTTCAAACAGCTTGAAAGCACGTTACCGTCATTATAACGTTAGCACTTGTGCACACGTTTGACCGCTGTGCAAAAGCACAGAACAGACAGGTAACTTAATGTGATTGTTTTTCACGCCCTCCTCAGCTTGGTTGTACAGCAACGAAACTGGACAAAACAGATGTGGCGCTTAGATATAACAGATCAGAGTATCTTGATCCTTTAAGTCCGTCCTGTGAATACCCTCAGGTACGTAGTTGCACAAAGCTCAGTAACTGGAAAGTGAACCGTCTCTTGGCCCTAATCTTTTAAAGGAAGCCTTGTCTCTTTCCGTTCTCTGCCCCTCGGAGGACTGGGACGAGGTGGAGGTGGCTGAAACTTCAGATTCGACCATATCTGCCTCTTCTGCCACACTTCTCCGCCTTTGAGAGTTGAGAAGTGCAAGAGCTTTGGAAATGGAAATCTTAACGTGAAGTCAAGTATTGTTTTTTTTTTTCCTATTGAAGAAAATGAGAGAGATTCGGGAAATGTTGTGAGCGGTTATTGCCTTCCATACCAAGTTCACTTTGTGAAGTAAAATATTTTTTCAACTGATACATTTTGAAATAAAGATATTATCCTGTCGAGGTTTTGCTGACCTAGCCTTTCCGCACATTTTTTTTCTGGTGACTAGAAAAGGCGATCGTTTCTACAGAGTCACTTCAAAACCGGATTAGATGGAAAAATTCAAACGCCCCCTCGCGTCACTCTCGCTGATTTTTAGGTTATTTGTTATTTTCTCCTCCAATAAATGTTGTTTAACTTTATGTTTCGTTTAATTTTGTTTGTTTCTAGTATTTCTCCTACAATGGTATCCTGATCCTAGTGGGAATCTCGGTGCTAGTCCAACTCAGTCATTCACTAAAGGTTTTATTAACACTGGGTGTGTTACTCACTTATTGCACCATCAACATATTTGTTCAACAAGACATTTACGACAACTACGACGCTTATGTGCACTATAGCCATGAGTAAGTTTCTAACTTGATTGTTAGTGTACACAGCAAGTTAAAAGGATATGATGTTGGATGGATACAGGTTAGG